AATATATATATATATATATACACACATTACATTTTGGCTTTGCTGTACCTTATACTTCCCTCTGTTCAATAGTGTTTTATACTTTGTTAAGCCATGTTAACAATGTTGTGTTATGCTGTAAAATAAGCCCATTTTACCCATATGAGGACTTTTTTTTTTTTTGTTACAAAAGTATGTCATAACCATGTAACAAAATACAACTTCCTGTTTGAAGAGGAAGCTTTATTTATACATAAATCAGGTCCATCTAATCACAAATATCCAGGAGATATGAAAAATGCATCTCAGACCAGAGCTCAGGTCTCAGGAGGATATATATATATATATATATATATATATATATATATATATGATTATTCTGTTTAAACTGTAATATAATAAGAAACTAACTAAAATAGCTTCTAGGAGAAACAACCCAATTTATAACTCAGTGCCTAGGTAGTTATAATAATTAACTAGTTTGACCCAGCTTACTGGGTTAAGATTTATATCCAGAAGTTGAAATAAAATGATTGATTTGTTAAACTACAGCTACTTATAATTTGAGTTTAAAACAACAACTCAAGCTCTGGGTTTTCAAATGATCACAGTGCTAGCTAGCTGGTGCTAACTGCTATTAGCAGTAGCTAGCTAGCACCAACTAATAATATTTTAGTAAACAAAATTCTTTGTTTAGCGGAAACATGAGTTATTAGTTCCAACAAGGTTAAACATTTTCTTACAAGCTGTTTTTCCACATCTTACCTTTACTTTTATACCCTAAAAGAGAGGACCAGTTAGGTTAGTTTCCCTTTGTCTTAAAATGGCGGGACAGTGAAGAATGACTGACAGGTCTTATCTTGGACTCAACCAAACTTCTCGACCCAATAATAATAATAAGTCTGCAGTTTTTAGGGAAAATGCAGAAAGACATGTTGATAAACAAATTATTTTTTATTTATAAAGGAACTTTCTAAAAATATAAAAGTCAATCAAATTTATTTATAAAGCGCATTTAAAAATGTCAGCCATAAAGTGCTTAACAATAAAATCAATGACAGTAATTAAAGAAAAACAAAAGTTTAAAATATGTTTTAAAAAAAACCTATTTATTTACAGTGGACTATTTAAATAAAAATGTTTCAGAACAGTTTCATAAAATATAAGCGTTGAAAACCAAAATAAGCAAAAAGTTAGGTTGTTTCTAACGTGATACTTTAGGTTTAACAGATTGTAACCAACAGCGCCACTTAGTGGGGAAATGCTTAAACTGCAAGCAGTTCTTCAGTAGCTGGTTTAAACTTTCTGCTCTTCAAAAGGCAGAATAATGATGATGTGATCAGTTCTCAGCTTTAAACTTTCATTAGAAAATAAGTCCAAAATCAGTTACAAGACATCCTGTATTTTTTTTATTCACTAAATAAATAGCTTGTTTATTTTTCATGCAAAAATAATTATTGTAAATCTCTTCTTTTTTTCATTCAACCTTAATTTATACAACAGGCTAGTCTCATTGAGTCACGAGGACTCAATTACATTAATTATAATTTTTTAAACAATCAAAGATAGTTGAATATCAGTGGCTTTGAATTTCTTTTCTTCTGGCTTTTTTCAAATAAAATTAAAATATGTTTATTATTGTGCTGTGTTTAGTTTTTAATATGTAGTAAAGCCTTTAAACTCATTACAATAATAGGTTGTCTCATTTGCTCTCTCTCTGCCTTCTCTTTTTATTTATTTTTTAAATTTTTTGCCAGCATGTTAGAAAGGAAGCACCTCGGTGTTTGGCTTAGTTCCATTACCATAACCACACGACTCTGTTTCTCTGAAATCCTGCACACAAAAATAAAAGCTGCAAATCTTTGCATTGTTTTGCACAATTAGGAGGATGAGGCATGCCAGAGCCGAGTGTATAATTTCCATTGCATGTCTCATTTTGCATGTTGCAACTTAAGATGAGTTTAAATTAGCAGGTACAGCACATGAGAGCCAGTGCTGCACAAAAAGATCAAACTAAATATGTGTAAATAGTATTTTTTCTGTCTCGACTCCTATTCATAAGTTTGCTCAGTCTGAGGCATTTACTTATTTTTAAATACTTTAAAAGATAAATATCCTCATTTTTATAAACACTTACTTGTTTTTAATTTTGCTAGTTATTTCTTTCTTTATACTATTTATGATTTTTTTTTATTGCTAGTCATTGATATTTGTCTTTTTTCTTTGTTTATGCTGTTTTGATTTTTGTTTATGATTATTGCTTTGTGCTTAATGTAAAACTTGTTGAATTGCTGTTGTTTATTAAATGTGGAAAACAATAACCGAAAATTGAAATATAAATGTATTTTTTTTCCCATTCAACCTTTATTTAGACAGGTTAATGCCACTGAGCCTCAGGGATTCATTTACAAGAGATTCACTTCAAGAGAAAAAGTTTTAAATCTATCATCAAAGAATAACAACTTTATTATTATGTTATATTTTCCATCCATCCATCCATCCATCTTTACCTGTTTTTGTTCGTTTTTATATAATTTCTTCCATTTTTTATTATGGTCTACTGTTGTCATCATTCTTTGTTAAAACAGGTCTCTCTTGTAAATGAGTCCTCGAGATTTAGACTAACCTGTATAAATAAAGGTTGAACAAATGAATTCATCTTTACCTGCTTCTTATTATATTCTTATTATATTATTATAATATTAGTTAGTATTAAGACGTGTTTTCATCTCAAGCTGAACAATTTAAAGAGTGTCATTTGTGATGAAAGTACAGAACTAATGATCAGTCAGCTGTTTGATGCAGAGGCGTATTCCTCGAACTACTGCGCATGCGTAAAAAGTAAAGCGCATGTCAAAGAGAATGCTGCAGTTACCGTTTCATTGCGTTTATTTATTTATTTTTCTATTTTGTAATCTGTCTGTCAGCCAGAGTTGTCGCAATCAAATGTATGTATACATTTTTTTTTAAGTTCAAAAACGTTGTAAAATCTGTACAGTATTAATATTAAGCATGTTCAGCACACCCCCTGGATGAGAGGACATGGATTAAGGCAAGCCCATGTAGCATACAATACATTTTCGCGCATATCTGTTTTTGATTAAAAGCATTCCTTTTAATTAATAACATTCCTACTACTCATAAATAAAACTAAATATATTTCCAATAACAATCATACAATTACAAAATATAAATGTATATTTCAAGGTCCACTCTAAATAATAGGTACAGTATTTGAAAAAAATCTTAAAATATTTAGTGAATCATTTTAATATTTAATGATACGAACATATAGTTCAATTCTCTCTAGTCAATAAAAATAGATGACCTGAAGGGCTTTCTACATTTTATACATCTCAATAATTACTCAGACAAGGGTTTTCACTTTACCTGTGAGTTTTTAACTGCAGTTATCCTCATGGAGATTCTCACCTCATGAACATTGTAGATATATGAAACTGTATATTCCATCCTTCCATCCATCCATCCATCCATCCATCCATCCATCCATCCATCCATCCATCCATCCAT